TTACAGTATTGCAGTTTTGAACAATCAAACTAAGAATTCGTAATGCTAATTGTTCGAAATAGAGATATATAAAATCTTTTATTCCATGTTTACCCCTTATCCCGTGGATGAAACAATTGGAGATAATGAACAGTATTCACGATCAAAAGTCCATATTAATCATTGGATATATTTCATATCCTACAGTTTTGACTTCTCAGTAGGTTTAGCGTTAGAGAAATTATGTATTTTTTAAAATGTAAAACATTGATAGTAATGTATAAAACCTGGGATAAAAAGCTTCTACAGTGAATCGTTGTTCAATATGATTATTATCCGACCCACTGTGCTTTTTTTTTTTTTATAAGAAAACTTGAATTTTCAAAGAAAGCACCCGAATTACCATGTTAAGGTCAGTCGATCGACATTTGTGTGTTTTCAATTGACAATTGTCACCCCTACTAATGTGTTCGAAACCTTTTATTTTTCGGTGTTCTGCAAATTGTAAAACCCGATGAGTTCAGAGTAGCTCTGACAGTGGCTCTGGTGAGAGTTAGCGAGACTACAGCAAGATAGGGTAAATTATTCACGGAAATGTAGCTAGGAAGTGACTGGCACGTGGAGACATGGTAAACAGAAAAGTTATGTTGCGTTTTAGTTTTCACAACCCTATAATATCATTTTGTAGAAATGTACATCCATGTCATTCGATCTCTCTTGAATTCATTCAAATTTTAATTATAAGTATTCTCTATGTTACAATTTTCTGCTGTCATGAATAAAAGTTTCTTTTTGGACAAATATTTTGCATGGGAACCGGGACTATATTTTTGGCGTCAGATTAGGAAATGCGGCACCAATGTGACTTTAACTGACGAATCAGCTGAATGAGAATTGCATTATGGGTTACTACGAATACTACAGGAATTTCACGCTTGATAAATTCCTTTATTGTACTATCGGTGAATACAATTGTCAGGTGGATTCCCTGGCCAACATACGTGATCATGAGTATAGTTATGTAAAAAAAATGTTTTGTCCATTTAAATGCATACGAGAATCTGTTCGTTTTCCTTACCCTTGAAGTGCTGGTGCTCTGAACTTGACACTAACTACGTATACATTTTATCAAACATATTTTTTTCTAGTTAACAACAAATTAAAAACGCCCGTGATATCTTTTATAGTTTCTAATATTTGCATATTGCTCATAAGAACATTTTTTTTATTTTGCACTCCATTGACATGATCATATATTGACCTGAACCACGTGTTCGAAGTAACACACAAACATGTATTAAAAATTTTAGCGTAAACGTATTCAATCAACAATTGGTCAGTTGCGCGTGGTTAGATTCTCTGTGCGCATTAATAGCAATAGCCATGTAAGGCAAACAAATATTTTGTCGGTGTAGATGATATTACACATTTTCCCCTCGCTTATCGGTCGCTAATGAGCTAACGAAATAATTTTTGCAGTTAACTATGATAAAATATATTAATTGTTACCCCCCTCACCCTTTAGCCACCCATTTCTGTTGAAAAATCATGAAAGCCTTAAGTTTCAGAAAGGTCTGGAAACACATTTTCACAGGACATGTTTTCAAAAGAAACAGACTATAGCAATTTCCTGTTTACTGCCAATTTTATTTATAAAACCAGTTCTACCCTATAACCTTTGAATAGGTTAACCTTAACCACATTTCTTGAATTTAAATCACAATAACATTAGTAGGGGTGATTGTAAATGCATTTTCCTTTCTCCGACCAAGGAGCAAATGGCAAGCGTAGCCCGCGGACAGGGGCTGGTTGTTCCTTAGTGGTACCTGATCCCAGTTTTTGATTCTTTGCTCTGCTTCCCAATTGTGTTATTTTAATGGACATTTAGTATTCACGATCTCCAGGTTTGATTTAATATTTGAAATATGAATTGCTGTTTTTATTTTGAAATAAGATTTACACGTACATGTTTATGCAGTAGTTTTTCAACCTATATACGTTTAAAAGAGTTGCAGAAAATACTTCATGCTATCAAGTACATTGCTCGCGGATTATTGCTTTATATGCAAAATGGAATCAGAATATCTGAGGCATAATAGTATTAAAGAATTAAGAATCGATAAATAGTGAGACATTGAATTTGTTCTGTTGTCATTTAAATTGGAATATCAATTGGAAATTTAACACATTTTAAGGCTCAATGGCAATTAATAGTAGCAACAAATTATAATTAGCGGGTACAATTCTTTGAGATCTAATTATGTTTTTTTCATTTTTTTATTTTATTTCCGTTTTTACATATAGTCTAAACCGACTTACACAGATTACATTTTGATGTTATGATTGCTGATTCAAAACATAATTAGTCACATAATACTAATTTTCGCTAAACTCGGGTTCAAGGATATTGGAATAATAGAGTAGTAATTTACACGAAACTGACAGAATTGATTTTTTTGGAAAGTTAAATTTAATTTGACATTACCAAATGACAAAGCGTACGTTAAAATCCTTTCCTTCTTACCCGGTGCCACTTCTATTAAGTTATGTTATTTTGTCAAAGCTGGCTTCCGGAGTCATAAAATTGATTAAAGGAGAATTTACTAGTGGATAAAAAAAACTTTAGAAATGTTTTCGAAATCCCTTCATTTTTAAACTAGCTACAAGAAACAATTAAAAAGAAATCTGAAACGTAATTGTTGTACATCTCCAATGAAGGGAAAAATAAAATGAAAAAAGGAAATAAAATAGAAAAGGTGAAGAATACATAAATACAAGTAATACCCTTCCAACTGTACCTGTTTTAAAGGTCCATGTTCACTCCGTCCAAATTGATAATGTTTCAATTGACCAAATCTGATAGTGATCTTTTTCTTCATATTTCATTGATATGCTTCAGCTGAGTTTGTTCTATGTTATATAATGAGTGCTAAAATCTAATTGATTTAGACGCATTTAACAAACTGTATTGTTATACCCTTAGAAATGTATTTAAGGAATCACTGTCTAGTAAGGAGGGTATGTCAGGGGCATCAACAATAGTGGGAAACATGGGATAATTTGCATAACGGGCGAAGCCCGTCATGCTTAAATTATCCCATGTTTCCCACTATTGTTGATGTCCCTAACATACCCTCCTAACTAGACAGTGATTCCTTATATTTCCATTTCATTGTGAAATAAAATTGTAGATTTAGACTTTAAAAATATAGATAAATAGATTTAAATCACATGATGACTTCCATGCCAGTTTCAATAGTCCTCGCCAACCGACGTCAATCACAAAGGCAGCTGCACGAGATTTACATGCATATTTGGCCTCCTTAGCGTCAGACACAGAGACGGATGCGCACGAGAATTGCATGCGTATTAGGCCTCCTTAGCTCCCGACCTATCGACCTGCCTAATTTAAATTCCGGCAGAATTAGCAAGAAATAAATTACCCCTAACTTTCAAAGAGTTATCACAGAGAAAAAAAATAGAAATGGAAATATTTCTATATCATATCTATTACTGATAAAAAGTCCGAAAAAAGAAATGTTTATCAAATCGGTATAACAAGTTTAATGTTGAACGGTCCGCCAATCTAATATTTGACTTGTTAGACCGCAACAATACTGTAGTAACGCAATGTCACTACTAAAATAAGTCATAAAAACAAAGATACAATTTAATTTAAAAATAAAAAGCAAGGGCTTTAAAAAAAAACATGACAAATTTATGCATGTACATGATGACACAAAATATGATATTCATCAAAAAGTATTCAAAACATTTAGAAATATGTCACCTGAATAAAATTGATTTTTTAAATCATTATTTATGATTAAACAGTTTTATTGTCTTTAATGTTTACTTTATATTACCTTTGATTTAGACATCGATTAGAGAGTTATAAATCCAAACGATTAGGTATAAATTGACCATAAATTATATTACTAAAATGTTAAACCGCATATAAAATCAAACAATATAAACTAGAGAGGTTGACAACATAATGGCAATAGTTGATAGAAGTTTGGTTTCTACTGAGAATCAAATATAAACTAGAGAAGCTGACAACATAATGAAGAGAGTTGATAGAATTTTGGATACTACCGAGAATTAAATAAAAACTAGCGAGGCCGATAACATAATGGCGATAGCTGATAGAGGTTTGGTTTCTACTGAGGCCGCTCCTCCTGTGTCATCTCTGCCACCTGTAAAGAAAACAAAACCTATGTCATAAATTTAATAAAGGTACGTCACTTTTTAAAGTGACAAAATATATATTTCTGTTGATCATTTAAATTACGATTAATGATAACATTGAAAATATTCAAATAAAAGTTGAAAAAATTCTAAATTAAGTAAAAACTAATAAGAAGATTTATAAGCTTACTTAGAGTCGTTACTGTTGTTTTTTATAAAAAAAGGTACAAATATTAGAATATTGATAAAATTGTTCATATAACCACCGTTATTATAAAAAATAAGATATTTTCCCTTAAATGCAGAAAGGAATTAATATTTGACTCCTTATTTTTTTTTTACATGAAGGATATGGAAATAACGAACAGTATTCAATCTCAACGTCCATTAAACAAATATACAAAACAAGAGCAGAGCAAACACGGACCTCCGAAACATCAGAGGTGGGATCAGGTGCCATTTAACCTTTTAACATTAGGAATATTTTGATACATTTTTATTGTACCTAATTGTAATTGTTTCGGCTAAGATTTCTCTAAGGTGTAAAGACTTAAACCCTGCTCATTTACTTGTATTTTTTTTAGTCTGAAGCATAACCGGAAATTCAAAAGATTATTGCTTATTAAAAACTGTGTTTACATTAGACTATTTTTTCCTCCAATGATACACAATGCAAGCAACCAACATCTCATTAAGATATACATGTACCCAGAGAATTGCTTAAAATTGTAAGATTTATTTTATCTATAAGGCATATTCATTGAAATATAATGATGGTAACACTGTAAAGATCAAAAGAAAGCAGTGTTTAAGAATTAATTCAGTTTTACCTGGTGTTGTGATGGAAGGATCTGTAAGGAAAGAAAGAATCATTATATTTGATCGTACAATACTTAAATAGAGAACTTAAATGAAGAACTAAAGATGTTTCATGACAATCTAACTAAAATCAGAATTTTTAGATCCGCACCGTAGATACTCTGTTTATGTGTAATGCATAGTGTATACTGCGCGGATCTAAGAATTCTGATTTTAATTAGATTGTGTTTAATAACAACGTCATACTATAACTTTTAAACCAAATTATTGTCTTCTTGTAAAAAATGGCAAATGAAGGATATGGAGATAACGAACAGTATTCAATCTCAAAGTCCATACAACAATACAAAAAAAGCAGAGCAAACACGGACCCCCGAAACATCAGAGGTGGGATCAGGTGCCATGGAGGAGTGAGCATCCCCTGCCGACCGGCCACACCCACCTTGTGCTCCTTGTAATGATCAGGAAATAATGGAAAAATTCCGTGTATAAATAATGGACTAACAATTGGTACGAAAAACGTCAGTCAGCATTTGACTCAATGATAAATTGTATTTGCTGACAAGGTCATTTTATTGACCATAGAACTTACGAAATGATGACTTTAAACGAGACTGCTGATATTCTTGTTTCATCAACTTGCTTGTCAATAATTTACCTCGTTTTAGAAATTGTTCATACGCAGAGCATGCTCTGACGTATCGAATCAACTGAGATATGATTGCGCCCATGTGAAAAGGGTCCTTATGGCAATTTTTATGCATTTTGAGTTTTTCACGGATTCTGATAGAGTAAGGTTAGAAGTTGTCAAATATGAATTTTTATGGTCCTACGTCTACTCTAAGTAGGATTTTTCTTCATTTTTATCAAATATACTTTAACAGGTTAATAATGCCGTCATGTTTTTCAACAACGTCAAACGTTTTCAGAGTGAACGTTAAATGATTTTCTTCTGTAATTTTACTACGGTGATTAATAGTTGTATGATATTTGATATTTTTCCATGCACATTATTTTTATCTTATTGTCTCTTTTATTTATCAATAATTATTTAATAGTTATATATATATTATGGATTCATCAGTGGTGTGTAGTATTATGAGTGAATGTTTGTTTTACATTTCACTTTTCTATGACACCAGGGGGAAACCTGAACAGCGGGCTACATCCATCCATTCTTTTTTTTTTGAAACAATTATTTTCTCAAACAAAATATTTACTGGTAATCCATGCAAGAGTCATTTGATAAGCCTGTAGAATTCATTTGAAAATTATTTAAATTTAAACATTGCTCTCGATAGGTCAAGATTTCAGCATAAACGATATATCTTTAGTTACCATATATGTGAAAATTATTTTTTTTAAATTACAACATTACGCTACCTAAATGCTATGTATAGCGAAGTAAAAATTTATTTGATTGTTCTTTCTTTCTAAATTTCATATAAAGACAGAAAAATTGTGAAGTGTGGTACATGTAAAATGCAATTATGATACACAATAGACAGTAAATAAAAAGGAAATTCGGTTGATTCACTGCATCTATAAGGTTGTCTGTCTGCATTGGGTCAATAATGACACTGCTTTTTTGTGAAAATATAAAGGATACACGAAATATTGTTCAGTCTAACAGTAAAAATATTGTAATATTAACCAATCAAAAGGTGGAAATTTTACAAGCAAATGAATGAGTAATAATCCGCAATCACTTCCACAATAGATAAACCCAGGATTAACATTTGTAGGATTATGTGTATGTTGGTGAAAGGGGGGGGGGGGGTAAAAAAACTAAATGGCAGAAACTTACAATTCTTTTGAACACGAGTTAAAATAAATAAAAAAATATTTTTTTATTTCAAAAGTTTTAGGTGCACCCAATACCATTAACCCTACAACTTGCAGATTCGCTTTTTTATTTAGGTTTGAAATATTCTTCATTTTATATTTGTACCTTTAATTCTGAGCATTGCCATTTTCAAAATCGCACAGCGAACATAAACAAAATGAGCCTGGAACTGAATTGCTATGAATTCAGTATTGTTAATCATGTATATAATGATACCCTAGAATTAAAAAATCTGGTTTTATTTTATGAAATGGATGGTTTTAGAAGCACACCCATAGAATTAAATTAAAGATGCCATTTACGGTTTATATGTATAGCTTTTGTTTGGGTAGGGGTGGGTTAAAGATTAATAACATGTAAAATTTTGTTTATGCCTAAATATACAGTCAGTTGAATATGACTGTTTTGTATAATATATTTCCTGACAATTGACTGTGAACTGGCTGAGCTTTGAAATGTCAGATTTTTGTAGGGATGTAAACATCTTGGAAAATCATCATATTATTTATGACCTAATTAAAAAAAAATCCCCTTCATTCTAATGTTGTTTTCTAATTTTATTCTATAAAGTGAGTTTTAAAGAGTATGAATTCCAGTTTGGTCCCGTGCCAATGGGGGGGGGGGCTTCACTTTTTTCCCCAACTTTACTTATACTATAGGAATTGAAAATTGAAAGTCTGGTTGCCCCCCCCCCCATGCACTATAAGTGATGTACGGAAAACGTAGTATATAAATTGGTACTGAAAAAAGTGGGCCTTTAACCACCCCCCCCCCTCCCCAAGAAATAGGATTTTCGACTTTGTGAAACATTAACCTTTTTTTTTTTTTTGCTTGTCAACTTTTTCAGGGAAGGAAAAAAAAATTATCTGGCTGTCCCCCTCCCCCAACTTTCAAAACTGATGCTACATGCCTGGTGCCAGAAGGTTGGATATGCTAAGCCTTGTAAAGCCTACATGTTACGGAAATATATAAGGACACCCCCACCCCCATCCCCTGCACTGCAGCCAAAATAAAACAAAATGCAAGCATATTGTTGCGGTTTTATGTCATGTATTTTCAGCATTGAATTTCATTTTCTGTTAGTATTAACATGTAAAAATAAAACCGGACCCTGAACTTATAAAGATTTTTTTATCAACCAACACAAATAAATATTTTTTTTAGCATATTTAATAATATTTATCCATAATTTGATGGCAGGTTAAACAATATATTATTCCACACTGATTACTGCAGTGAGATTATAAGTTCAGTGATGATTGAGTTTTTAGCATGATAATTGATCTGTTAAGAGACATTCAATGCTGATATGAAAGACAAAGTTCGGCATGGCTTAAAGAATTAATTTGCAGATAATGCTTAAAACATTTGAATTCCGTATGAAAGAAAAAAACCACCACACAGAAGTACCAAAGAGTTACTTGTATATTAACTTGGAGATCTTGAAAATAAATAGCTTAATACATGTATATATGGTTTAGAGAACAAAAATGATATTTTCTTTCATTTATTATTTCATTTTTTCAATAGAGTTTCACATTTCTCAATATTAGATAAATAGATTCAATATAAATATTTTTTATCTACCCTACATCCTCTCTCTCTCTCTCTCTCTCTCATCAGATTTTAAAGAAAAATTTTTTTTCATTCGGATGTTTTTTTTTGTTTTAATTTCTCTAAATTGAAGTGTCTTTGTGCAACAAGAATATAAGACAAAACAACATTTTTAAATTTTAATTTATTTAATCATGGTTATAAGGTAGACGCTTTACATGTTTATTACCGGTATTTTAAAAAAAAATGAAATTCGTCATGAAATTATTTCATGCAAAAAAAGCTATAGATAAGAGATTTGAAAAAAAAATTAAAGTCTGTTCAATTTTGCAGTTTTCTTTTTTTCTTCTTTGTTTTTCCTTTTTCTACATTAACCATATTCCCAAAGTACAACAATATTTTTTTTATTTAAAAATTCATAATTATGATGACGATTAAAAGTTTTCTTTGGTCATAAAATATCTCTTTTATAATCCGGGAGAAAATTAATGCAAACATGCAGCTGAAATGTGAAAAAGTACGCAATTAAAATAATGAATGTCCCTGTCTGGTACCCCTGTTACATCGGATTGTTGACATCAGAGTTACCTCTCCTATTTTCATTTATAGAAAAATACAAATAATCTTGACTATCGTTCTTACACATTCTTGCTAGATTTGTAAAAAACGTGGAAGATGTATGTTTAGTTTCAACATTTGTGCAAACAATTTAACAACAGTTTAAACAGTATGCACTGATGAATCAATGTTTACGTGTGATCGACGCGATCGCGATGTATATTTGAGAGTGGTGGAGCGGATCTCAAAGAAGTAGGAAGACGATTTTCCTTTGCAATAGTTGTGCACGATATACCCTGTCTAAGATGTATTCTAAAAGTGGTATAAATATGTAAATAAAATTTATCTAGAGTATAAAGGTTCAATATGCTATCAGAAAACACCTTGTCTACAGCTTCTATACATTTAATTACGCATGTAGGAAAACTATTGGTATTATAGAGACGTTAATAATGTTTGTTAAGAAACCAGTTCTAAATGTTTTTATTTATATCCATTAAAATCAGTGGATTAGGAGATTCAGACATTGATTAAATTAATTTATAAATGAAAATAAATTCCACATGTTGGAAAAAGCGATAAAAACTCAGGATGCGTCAAACGTCAAAACACGTGGTTAAAAAAAATCTGCGTCGAAGTTCACCGTCAGTCTGCAACGTCACATCTTTATGACGTTATTTCTCTGTTTTAGCAAAAATGCCATAAGGACCCTTTTGTCATGGGCGCAATCATATATATACTCCGTATGCAGGTGATGAAGGTATATTGCTGCATAAGTAAGGGAAATTGACGATAAAAAAGTTAAAGTCATCACGTTTATCATATAGCTTGGTTGTAAGATTACTATTAGTGTTTTTTTCAAGTAAAATATCCAAGTATGAAGCAAACGTGTCGGACTCTGTGGTATCTTTTATCTCAAGCTCACTAGGATATATCGTTTCGACGTAGGAATGGAAATTACCATTATTAATTGACAATACGTCGATATATCTAAATGTTGAGTTGAAAGCCACGGCAAGTGTTTTTTTCTTTTCACGCATAAGATTTTGCGTAAATTCTGCTTTATATGAATATAAAAATAAGTCTGCTAATAACGAAGCGCAATTTGTATCCATGGGAATTCCAATAGAATATATTAAAATTAAAATAGAATATATTAAAATTTCAAATATATCAAAATTGAATTTTTACAACAAAAGACGTAAGAATTACAGAAATTAGTGAATATAATTTTTATTACATATCATATCAGCATAATTTCATACTTACCTGTGACTGTAACATTAACAGAAAAAGTTGTGGTGGTTTCTTTTGTGTTATGCTTTACAATACAAACGTATGTACCTGCATCTTTTAATCTCAGGTCTAATGAGACAAAAAAGTATGTTGCATAAGAAATTATTTTAGATGCACTAATCATGACAAAATGCAACAAATAGAAGCAACACACTGTACCTGGAATTCTTAGTTCGAAGGCAGTTGTATTCCCTACCGTAGTTGAATTACACGTAAAGTTTCTATTTAGCAATCATACTTTTTGGCCGTTGTGACAAAAGTTAGCATTCCCGAAATTCCAGTAGGCATCTACGTTCGTTATATTATCATCAGGAGGTAATTTCACGTCACATACTCCTCGATAAGTGTCACCGATTTGATAGGGTCCATAGTGAATAAATTTGAAACCAGTACTGATATCGATCTGAGAGGCCACGTCTAAAAATAAAACAAAATCATTTTTTTTGGTTCACTGATAGCCATCTATTTCAAACTTGATATGCGCAACAATTGACGATTGTTCGTCTGATGCAAACATTTATTAAATTATTGTGCTTATCAACCCCTTTAATTTGAAACATGCAATATGTTTGATTGAATGGTTGAATGACTGTTTGACAAAAATGATTTCCTCCCCTGTTTTTAAGAAAGAAACATTTTGATCTCTTTATGGAGAATAAAGATAACTTTATTATCTTAAAGATACTTTGAGAAAGAAATCACTTGCTTAGTAACTGTAATAGCATTTTATAAATAATACCATAATTCAAATTGCTCTTTCAGAAGATGGTTTTACCGAAAGAAATAAAATAAGATAAGTGGTATAAATCACTCAGCTGTTGAATTTTCACTCATTTATTGGCTTGAAACCTGAAATAGTTAAGATGAAGGAAATAATTTACTTATTCTATTTCAAATAACCAATTTAATTCATTTAATTCTGTTGTAACACGCATTTTAATTGGCTGAAAAATAAGTTTAAATTGCAAAGTCTGTTGTTGCCTAAGATACAATGAATAATGTCAACAAGAGGTCCATGGGCAACATGAGTAAAAAAGCTAATGTACATGGGCTAATTATAAAACACAAATCAGCTCAGTATTGAAAAGTTTACTTGTTGATGTAGGGGAGAATTGAATTTTGTTACCTGAGATTGTCACTATATCAATAAAGCATTCACGTATAATTTTGCCATATTTGAAAAGAAGATTTCTTAAGATTTTTCCAACATATAATTTGATCTCCCATTGTGACCCCTCGCTAACACCCCAACCTGGGCACATTATTTGGATGAATTAAAATTTTCACTACTAGTGCAAGATGCTTACATGTCAATTTGACTAAACAAATTTTTTCTGTTTTGGAGAAGATTCTTTTCTATATATTTGTATGTCTTATGCAAAACTGTGATCCTTCACTGTGGCGAAACCCCAAACCCGGGGCTGGGGCGGTGGGGGCATAATTTGAACAAACCTGAATCTAAACCACCGGAGGATGCTTCCATTAGTTATCCAGAAATTTTTAAAGATATTTTAGTTTATACAGTACCGACCAGACCCAACCTGACACCCAAGCAGTCCCAGAAAGCAGTCCCCGGGACTGCGTTGGGACTGCTGTGGGACTGCTCTGGGACCGCTGTGGGACTGCTCTGGGACCGCTACGGGACTGCTCTAAAAAGCAGACCCAGCAGTCCCAGCTGTCCTTGGGACTGCTTTCTGGGACTGCTTTGTTCACTCATGTGTGAAAAAAGGTTCTGAGTGACATGATAGCTCCGCCCCCTTGTGTATTCTGAATTTGCAGGCCCCCTGTCGTTTTGTTTACTTGCAGCAGAGATGAGTTTAAACTGTTTAAAAAGCAAGGATTTCTTACAATCTTTTAATAAGTAGAGATTATTATAGTTAATTAATATTTACTAACTAAAGACTGTATATCTACACAAATGTAGTTTACAATAATTTTTAAAAAAAAAAAGTTGTAAAATAAGGAAGTCAGGAGAAGATTAATTTTTTCCCGAAATATAAGATAAGGCTTATGAGAAAAAATATCGACATGTAGGTCTTTTTTATTACGGGGGTATTTAATGTAAAATTAGATACTAAAAATTTGCATTCATTTGGTACTATTCAAAAATAATTATTACAGGTAGATATAAGATTTTTAATTGAAATAGGAACATGTTTTAACCCTCAAATAGAAAACCTCACACTTTATTAAATAACCATGAAATAAAATTAATAAATTAATGCTACCATTCTTCCGAAACATAAACAATGTGGATAATCACTGGGGAAATTATTAATGAATTACCGGTAGTTTTTAATCTATAAACAAGTTATTAAAAGAGCACATTAGTTTTTAAAATAAACAGTTGAAAATACCGGGAATTGTGATTTATTTCTTTTTTGTTTTGCTTCTGTTTACCTGGCCGATTAATGTGTATAAAAAAGGTATCAACACTCACAGTTTCAATCGCCTTTGGGCAGAAAATCAGTGCATGCTACATGTATTTGTGTATACATATCAGCGTTTCACATCACTGAACATGCTGGTCAACAATGACCCTAATTTCAATCTATGTAAAGCAAAAATAAAATTGATTAATGAAATGTGTATGCATTTCTTTCAGGATTAATTAAAACTTAAAGCACAGTATTATAGAGATAGAGGAATTTAAAATAATTAAATTGAAATGTCAGTAAAAATAATCATGACTGAGAAATAATACTTAGCAAAATTAACAAAGAATTTTTTAAAGCCCCAATACTTAAGAAAATTTATTAGAGTATCCCGATAGTATGGAAATTGGGCATATAACGATAAGATCTATTTAATTAAGCTAATTCTGGTGGAAAATAATTAATTGACGTTTAATTTTCTGTATAAAAAATAAATATGGGAAACAGTATCAATCACAGAAAATAAAGAAATCGAATTATTAATATACCAGAAAATCGTGATTAATTTTAATTAATAAATAATAAATTTTAATTAATTTTAATTTGGGACTGCTCTGGTGTAATATTCATGTTCAGTTTAATTTTATACATGTACGTGTGAAAACCCTCTTCCTTCAATTAATATTACATGTACTTCAATTCGTTTCTATGCGAGTATTGTTCATAAATGACCTTCGCATACATGTAAGGATTCCAGGCATACTACACAGAATCAATTTCTACAGCCTTTTATAGTTCCATTGTTTATTGGAAATCTCATTTCTGAGTTGGCTTCGCCCATTAAATTAATAAACCCCGCCCTCTAGGACTGCTGGGACTGCTGGGACTGCTCTCTGGGACCGCTGGGACTGCTGGGACCGCTCTGGGACTGCTCTGGGACTGCTCTGGGACCGCTCTGGGACTGCTTTAGCAGTCCCAGAAAGCAGTCCCCGGGACTACTCTTGGACTGCTTTGTGTCAGGTTGGGTCTCAGGGTCGATACTGTATTCCTAATTTTTTTCATGATATTTTAGTTTAAAAATTGATCCCACATTGTGTCCCCACTCTACCCACAAGACATCTGATTTGAACAATCTTGAAACTACGCTTCCTGAGAATGTTTCCATATAAATAACACCAATCATGCCATGGTTTTGAGGTTCTTGAGAAGAAAATTCTTTAAAAATTATCCTACATATTTCTATGTAAATATTTGATTGCCAATTATGACCCCATCCTACCACAAGGGGTCATGATATGAACAAACTTGAATTAACGCAAACTGAGAATGTTTCCAAATCACCAATCATAGCTTTGCTGATCTTGAGAAGAAGTTTTTGAGAAATTTTCCCTGTATATTCCTATGTAAACTTTGATCAGCCATTATAGTCCTTCACTAACCCCGGGGTCAATATTTGATCAAAATTGAATCGTCACTCCCTGAGGATGCTTCCACATAAGTTTCATATTTCCTGGCCCAGTGGTTGTGGAGAAGAAGAGTTTTAAAGATTTTCCCTATATATTCCTATGTGAACCTTTGATCAGCCATTGTGACCCCGCCCATCACCTAGGGGTCATAATTTGAACAAACTTGAATCTACACTACCTGAGTTTGCTTCCACATGAGTTTTTTTCCACATGAAGATTTTTAAAATTGGAAAAGGGTGTGGCCCTCCATTTGAACAAACTTGAATTTCCTTCTCCTAAAGATATTTGTGGCAAGTTTGGTTGAAATTGGCCCAGTGGTTCTTGAGGATTACATCCATATAACGAATTATCGAATATCATATGGCAATTTGATTCATTATAACTATTTTATTGAAACCCTAATAACGAATAAAATATGTCATTAATTCATTTTACCAAAGTCGTAAATAATTTGTTATAAGGATGATTTGTTTTTGATGAATTTTAACATTTTTGCTTAATGAATATTAACATTTGGTATCAAATTGCTTAAACAAATTTAAGAAAAAATTAATAGACTATTTTTGTCATATCAAATTAAAATACAAAGGTAATCAATGATTACGCAGCTCGCCTTGGCGAATGTTATCCATTAAGCAAAGCTCATGTTAATTTTTTTCTAGTTACTGTTCAATCCCAAACCAGTTTAAAACATAGTTTGCTTTAATAAGGATTTATAATTACTTCTATTTGGAAATAGACAAGTTTCAAAAACTAATTATATTACTTATCAACAAAATCTTTGCCATCTGGAGCAAGGAAGGGTTGTTCATCACCCAGGTAGGGTTTACAATTACATGCTTATGGAACTGCTCCCAAAAATTTAAACCTGGTCAGAGCATTCATCCAAAAAATGTGGGTCAGACCCAGCAGTCTGGTAGTGCCTATTCCTAGATACATCACCCATGCAAGTTAAGTCCAGATAGGGCCTATATCCCTGGTAATTACCTGGTACTTGGTATTTTACCTGCTCCAAAATTTGGTAATTCCCCCAAAATGTAGGTCAGATCCAAGATCTGAAGCAGGTCTGGTAGTGTTCATCTCTAGACGCATTATCCTTGCAAGTTAATTCCATACAGTGCTTATAGTTAATTGGGAAAGGACCTGCTCCAAAAACTTTAGCCTGGTAACTCATCTGGAAATGTAGGTCAAAGCAAGCATCCAAAGCAAGTCTGGTAGTGTTCATCCCTAGATGCATTATCCTTACAAGGGCTTATAGCTAATTGGGAATGGACCTGCTCCAAAAAAATTAACCTAGTCATTCCTCTGAATATGTAGGGCAGAACCGACACCCAAAACAAGCCTTGGTGCGTGTTAAAAAAAATTTATATATAGAATTTATTCCTTACAACAGAGTTACGGGCTGAATTCGTTGTAATATTTTTTTTAAATTCACTGAAACAAATTCAACAATTTCCACAATTCATCATAAGAATTCGTACTAAAAATTATTTTGTCATTATCCAATAAAAAATGATTGTCATTAAATGTCAAATTGATGTTATTAATTTTATACTTACATATATGCGTACTATGAGCCAGAAATACAAAAACAGCGATAGCTTGCGGAACGGAAAACGTTTCCATTACCATCTACAAAGAAATGTTTAACTGAAGAATCAGTAAACAAACAGAAAATACAAAAACCTATCATGATTCATGACAGGATGCTATTTGCCATAACGTCTTGTAAAAACATGTAAAAGTGCAAAGTACAATAGCTTAAATGTTTTGATAATGGAGGGTGCATTTTGCCATATGGTAGGTCCGTACTTTCAGAATTTTCTGTCAAACTGTTTATTTTTTGATTTGAAAATCGTGAATAAGTCATAATCTAACTAAAATACCCATAAAAAACATATCTTTGCAGGTTAATTTTCATGCAACATGTCTCGGAGTATATACCTCTAAAAATTCAACAGCCAAAATTCAACATATAGAAGTGTAACATCATATTTTATTTAGCTATGTACCAAATCACATCCAATTATTGTTAAAACTTAGGAAAATCATAAATATTCATTTTTCAAGAAAATATTTGAAACTTCTATTTGAAAACACTAAAAATTAATGTTGATGGTGTCAAAATCTTTCATAGAAAAAAGCTCAAAATATCTTAATTTTAAATATTTCTCAAAATCTTTTATGTTTATATGCTATTTTTTCTTCACAATTATTTAGAATTATATCTTAGGTTAGCAGAAAAACATACTTTATTATGGTTGACCAGAAAATTTTTACAAAAGAGCCTTTTGAACACCTATACTCCCATTTTTGGAATATCTATTTTTTCAATCGTTCTTCGCAAAACTTATAAAAAAGTAAATTTAAAAAGATGATATAGGCTAAAAATTAAAGATAAATAGATCTCAAGTTAGTTTGTTTAAAAAAAAAATTAAAAGCTTTAGGTCCATAACGGCAATTAAGAATTCTCTGTCTGTGTATGTACTAAATTACATATAGATCCTATGGACAGAGTGCAAAGTGGTTATTCCTATAAATAATGTACATTAAATGCTTTGTGTGCACAATGACACTATAATAAACAAATATATACTTGCTAAATCATTTTTAATCATCTAAAAAGATTTTATTTCAATAGACAAGGATAATCAAAATTTTATATCGGTGCGTAAAATTAAAACCGGATCCGTAAAAGGGTGGACCTGCCTTTGGGGAAATTTGTTTTGGTCACAGTTGATTTTTATGCGCCCGGATAGATGGATTGTGCCGCGTATTGTTTTCTTTCCTGTCTGTCTGTTTGTTTTACCTGTTGTCAACTATCGCATTCGCGATAACGTTTGAACCATATGGGATTAAGATTTCATATATTAGTATGCTTACTCCAATAATTGAGCAATTCCAAATGCCACCAAGTTAAGTGACCTTGTGAAATAAATTTTCCAAACTATTTTTATAACTTTTGAACCATAAAAGATAGAGACTTTGGGACTTTTAATTTAATATGCTTACTCCAATAATCAAGCTCTTTCAGATGACACCAAGGATATAATGACATTATGACCTTGACTGGGACCTATATTTGAACAATAAAAGAACAATTAAAGATAGGAACTTCTTATTTGGTAAGCAAATTCTTTCAGATAACACCCGGTCAATGACTTTTTTTTTACCTTGACTATGATTTAAATGCAAAAATAATTTATTCGAACCTTGTTGCTGCCTTGTGCATAGTGTTTCACAAACTCATCGTGTTATTCCAAAAATTATGTCGTTATATGTTGGTTCATGAATGGATATGGTTTTTATCAAAAAGGAAATTTCAAATTTGTGAATATTATGAATTACATGTTTTTTTTTTTAGCATTTTTCTATTCCCACCAGGAAATAACTGAAGTGAGATAATAATGCATTTCAATCCATTCTTTATTTTCCTTTTTCTCCAATCCTTGATACGAATGCAAGGTGATAACCTTGATCATATCTTTTGAATGAGAAGAGATAAGACTTTCATATCAAACAAGTATATTTTCTGTGACAAGACCTTTCTGAATACACTACAATTTTTGACCCCGTGACCTTAACCTTGAAGATTGAACTATCAAAAAAACTAAAGATTACTTTGAATTGGGTTTAACTTTTGAATGAGAAGAGATAGGACATTAATAGTACTGTACAAATGAATAATACCTGACACAAGATATCTCGTAATGGACTATGATTTTTGACTTTGTGACCTTGACTTTGAAATTTGATAAACTTTTCAAAAACTTTAACTTTGGTCATATCTTTTGCATGAAAAGAGGCTTTCATATAACACATATATATTACCTATGACGAGACGTGTCGAAATACACATCAATTTTTGACACTGCAATCTAAAAGTCTGATTTACTTTTTAAAAAATATTAATTAGAATTGGCCATAACGTGTGAATAAGAATATATAGGGCTTTCATATTAAAATGTGCTTCACCTTGTACAAGACCTCTCTTTTTTATCTTGTGGCTTTGACCTAAAAGTTTGACCTACTTTTCAAAATTGTTAATTTTTCCCTAAAACTTTTGATTGAGAAAAGACAAGGCCTTCATATATGACATATGCGTTACCTGTGACAAGAAACATGGTATGATTTCTGACCACTTGACCATGACCATCACGACTGACCTTAATTTAAATATTTGACACAATATGTCATAAAAATGAAACCAAAAGACACCAAAAGTGAGGGATCACAATTCTTTGAATTTGCTTTTCTTTACTCACTGTCGAATTACAATTGTATGAAGGATATGGAGATAACGACCAGTATTCAATCTCAAAGTCCATAACTCAATACAAAATGAGAGCAGAGCAAACACGGGCCTCCGAAACATCAGAGGTGGGATCAAGTGCCATGGATGAGTGAGCATCCCCTACGGACCGGTTACACCCGCCGTGTGCTCGTTGTCATGATCGGGAAATAAATGCCTGTATGTGACATTTTTCTAAATCACAATATTTAATGTTAACAAACATTATAAAAAGTATAAACTTGTATTTAAAAAAATTCAGGTGGATCAAATTAATCAACTTATCCAGACTGTATCCTTAATTGTACTGCGCAATGTTGGACATGATACAGTAAATATTAACAATAGAATAAAAACTGCAGAAAATAGCCCAGTTGCGAATTCGAGTAAAAATGGGGGTTCCAAGCTTTCGGCCCAATTTCAATTTTCAGATGAAAATAGGCCTAAACCGTGGTTCCTTCTTACTATAAAATGAATATATTTTTTTCTAAAAAAGCTATAATTGAAACACGTTTGCGATGTTGAATAGGACTTGATTCTTCGGCTATAGATAATTTTCCACACGGCACACACTATTTTTATAGGCCTAATAATATTTGTATTCTAATCATCAGTTACAACGTCAATAATGAAATGACTTCATCAAAATCTCAAGAATCAATTAGCAAAATTTAGTTTTAGCTATTATACGAGGGTTGTTCGAAAAGTTCGTGGACGATGTAATTTTCTCCGAAGATATGTTACAATTCGAAAAAATTTGTATATTACATTAAATGATAATGTATTTTGAAATAAAATGCAAAATTTCAGTCAGTTTTACTTACATTTATTAAAGTTATATCAATTTTTATGATGCATTGTCAATGCCCGCGGAGCAGCTTTGGCGTAATTTTTTTGACATCGTTACGTCGCTATGTTTTATGAATTATCTTGCATCTTCTTAGAAACTCTTTCGATGCGATGATCCACCGATTTTTTTTCAACAAAGTAATTTCAGCACCAAACTAGTACAAACCTTTTCAAATCCAAGAGATTTTGTGATTGTTTCATGTGCCATAGACGTAATTATTTCAAAGTTACCCGCTTTATCCCTTACTGCTAATCTTCTATCTTTGTCAAGATTTTATTGACGCCGTCAAGTCAGAATCAATAGATGGAGGTCTTTCTGAGTTTTCGTCATCCCAAATTTTACATCGTCCTTCTTTAAATCGTTAATACCACTTGTACACCATTGACTATGATACTTTTGACCTATCCTTAAATTCATCTAGCAATTGTTTTGTCTCAAAAGGAGTCTTTCCTGCTACCACACAAAATTTTAACACAGCGCGCTGTTCTGTGACGTGTAATTCTGACGCCGTTTTTAACCGTGAACTGAGACCGTTGCCTTTCATTATAAATCGATAATTTGAGAACCACTTGCTCAAAATAACTAAAACTTCTCAAATATGACGATTGCCTTTTATTGTGATCTCATATTTAATATCATAGATTTTCGAGCGCAAAATAAAAAAAAAAAATCTGTAATGACAATATCGACTTAAATAATCAAATACGCGGAAAACGAGGATGCTCCGCGACCCCCTGCTTAAGAAATTAGAATGGCTGTATTTCTTTTATTTAATGGGCCAAAAAATTGAACAGGTTGTATTTTTACTGGAAACATGGTATAATAAAGGTATATAAAGTTTCACTTCAAACACACAAATACAGCGGTCAGTACCGAACCCGTCCACGAACTTTTCGAACAACCCTCGTATCAATAATATTTAAGAAAAATGTCGAATGTATGCTTCTTTTAAGTGGTTGTGAAAAAGTACTTGTATATTGATCAGACCCTGGAAATGTTTGTCTTTTTTATTGCGCTCAGTATTTCCGCAGTGTTCGATATTCATTCGATACAATTTACCGATCGACATCACGTGATGTATATATTGTCTATATGTCTGCAAAGATGATGATTTACTAAAAAGAAGAAATATCGTTTAATCATGCACTGTTTAATTACTAAATAGTTAAAACATGCAGACATATTTTGACCATGTTGAGGTTCCTTGCTTACCGAATTAATTTGTAAATATTCATGACAATGCATCACTAAATGTACTCTCATCGCATTCACATTTCCAACTTATGTTATGGACTATATCGGTATTTTTCATAATATCCAAAAATGTCCCTATAATACTTAAAGAAAACCATACCTTTTTATTGATAATTCATATCACAAAAGCAATTCCTTGAAAGGATGTGAATCTCAGAGGGCATATAAAATGTCAAACGCCGAAGCATCTGTATCATGTGTATGGAAACTACGAGGAGCCGTTCACGTCAAACTTACGCCCTTATGACAACACCGTAGACATTCATCATACATAAACAAGAAAACATAGATGTTACCATCCATTGTCGCGCGGGAAATAAATAAAGAAAACAATTGAAATTATTATATAATTGAATAATTTCCATCTCTCTCATTGGCTGAGATCCAACTATGCTAGAAAAATACTAAAGTGTATTGACCGGCACTTGACGTTCCAGGTGAATACAAGGATTTATTTCCTCTACATCGATCTAAAAATAGATCGGGAAATTCCAAATTGATACAAATTGTTTTGGAAAGCTATTTAACCGAATCTGACTTTTTCCATGTGAACAAAACATAAGCGAATATATATTTTCGGGTGTGGGTGGTTAGATGGGATGCAGAGACCCCCTCCAACACTTACTGAACAACAATTTTTACTTTTTGGCAGTCAGTTTTCCTTGATAATACTCCTTCTTTTGAAAAGACTGACATAATTTTTTTTAATGGCAACTAAAATTGATGAAAAACACATTTCAAACTGATACATGTACGGCTGGTAAGGTTTATTTACATTTTAATTCTGCTTCTCTCTTGTATTTGGTTAGGACTTAATTACAATGTAAATGCAAACAAGTAATGAGCTGTATCATTTTATCAGTGAAGCATATAATATAATGACTATTGCTGTTTTTTCGGTCAATACAGTGATTTAGCCACCGAGCACGAAGGGCGAGGTGAATATTGTACTCCTCAGATGGCTAAATCATTGTATTGACCGAAAAAAACAGCAATAATTGTATTTGTTATACCCTTATAAATATCATTCTATATATTTATTACTAATAAAAAGTCCAACAAAAGAAATGTTTTTTACATCGGTCTAACAATCACTATTGACCGGTCCTACATAAGAATTATTAGACCGCAACGTCACTGTTACGTCACAGGTAGTTTTCGTTCAATTTCGGCGTCACGGAAATAACCGAAGCTGAGTGCTGCAAGAGTTGTCGTTTGCTACAAAGATGGCGTCACACAGTAGGTTCTCGAATACAGACGAGAGTGAAATTGAAAGTATACTTAACGAAAGGGACAGTAAGAACACTAAGAACGTAATTCAAAACATTTATTTCCAGATACGCTGAAAACATTTTAAACGAATTTTTAGTGCATACATGTGATACTTCTCTGTCGGAATTACACTTAAAGCCAAATGAAGAGATCTGTAATGTTCTTCGAAAATTCTACTGTGGGGTACGAAAACAAGATGGATCAATGTACGCAAAGTCTTCGATGATATCCATGAGGTTTGGTCTTCAGAAGTCGTTCATGAAATCAAATGATATTGACATTGTTAACAATGAAGAATTCAGTCGTGCTAATGTGGTGTTTTCGGCTTGTCTCGTGAAAATTAAGAGAGAGGGGACTGGAGAAGTAAAGCATAAACTTGATAAAGAAATCATCAGTGACGGAGACATGAAAAAACTGTATGACTGTGGCGTTTTCAATGTTGATAACCCCAAGACTTTACAATGGAAGGTTTTTTTTGAAATTATGTTACATTTTTGTAACAGAGGACGAGAGAACTTAAGAAACATGGAAAAAGATGATTATGTCATTAATGTAGATGCGGATGGTAGGCGCTTTGTTGTGAATAACATATCACGACTAACAAAGAACCACAGGGGAGACTCTGGGGATGATGACACTAATGCTGCCCGCATGTACGAACAACCAGGTATGTAGATTTCTCTTATAATTTCAAATATTGAAAAAAAAATATTTGAGTCAAACAATTTTGAAAAAAAAACCCATAAATTAACAAGCTGTGTTTCTTTAATTATCATTTAGGAAACCCCAATTGTCCGGTGGCTAGTTTTGAAAAATATATTCAAAAACTGAATCCAGAATGCAAGTCGCTGTGGCAAAGACCAAAATCACTGCCAGCATCATTTGACCCTGACAACCTTGACCTGTGGTATGACAATATGGTGGTGGGGAAAAATACACTTGGAAAATTTATGCAGTTAATCAGCAAAGAGGCCAAACTTGCCACAGCATACACTAATCATTCTATAAGAGCAACATGTATTACAATCTTGGACGAATCGGGGTACGAATCGAGACATATTATGGGGATATCAAAGCACAAATCTGAGACAAGCTTGAAACACTATTCTTCTAAATTGAGTGAAAAACGTAAGAGAAATATGTCAGATGCTTTGAGCAGGAAAATACATGTGTCAAAATTTCATGGTTCAGAAGTATTTCCATCAAGGCCCTCATCATCAAGTGTTCAGTCAATCACGTATTCTCATGGATCATCATCTATGTCTCTTCAACCAACCTCAAATGCAGTCCCCGGGACTTTCAACGAAACGGTGCAACCAGTTTCCGAGTCCATTGACTGGCTTGGTGATGTTGATGATGACGCATTTGCAGCAGTGTTAAATGACAATACGATCTTTGCAAATGTTCAGGAAATTCCAAAGTCTTCAGTGTCCACTGTAACACCTTACAACTCTCATGGCTGTACCGTTACAATCAACAACTATTCATCCATGGCCAGTGCAGGGGGTCAGTCATAGATATCTGTGATATAAACGATTGTGATAACCAAAGTGATAACTAAAATTCGATTAACGAAAATTATAATTTCTGTTATTCAATTATTAATTTCTCTGTTAAAATTATAACATAGTTAATATTTTTATTGTTTGTTAAAGTTTTTTTTAATTGTTGAAGCCAAAAAGTGCAAATGAATTTATTGTTAAAAATATTTGTTGATTTAATCAGTTCTTAAGTCTTCATATTGTGTTTTAATATGTAGATATCTTATGTGAAGGGTATAACAAAACAGTTATAGACTGGGATTCGGGCAACATATGATTTGTTGGACCTGAAGGTGAAAATGTTGCCCTCGGCCTGCGGCCTCGGGCAACATTTTCACCTTCAGGTCCAACAAATCATATGTTGCCCTCATACCCAGTCAATAACTGTATAATGATTCTTGATCTTCAAAACTCTTCGATATGTGTGAAAAAGGCATGCATTTAAATGATAGAGACGATAGTCGAATATATTTTGAAAACTTATAGTGGGATGAAAATCAAACAAAAACGACACCCTTTTAAACTTTATCAATTCCTCAAGTAAATGCAGGCTGCATAAATATAAATTGAAACCAGACACATGCATCACCTAAAAATTAAAAAAGTATTTCACTTGAAGAATATAAACACGAACTGTGTAGAGTACGTTTTATGCGACATGTAAAATTCGATATTCTAAAAAAAAAAGGGGACCTGTCGTTTTTTTCGATAGTCAATGATAAACAACTTTATATATTAAACGTAAAAAACATAACCATTTTTACAGATTCACTTCATAGAAGTTAATATATTATGTATCTTAAAATTTATAAAAGGAAAGAACATTGTGATTAACAATCTTTTTAATGTTTAGAAAACCTTTTATTCTGAATAACTTCTCCCACCTCAATCCCCATACAGATATTCTTAAACTTACATGTATATGTATGGAGCAGCCCGGTCCTTTTTTTGCATTTATCAAATATTCGAATGTCGTTTCATTATTCAAACGTCGGTGCATACGACAGATAGTCGAATAGTCGGCTATTCGTTGACATCCCTATCTTAACAAAAATTGCACTTAAAAAAAGATTGCAACACGTTTTGGTGTAGTTACACTCTTCGGCGGAGAGAGATAACTTTTATTAACAGAGCTACATTTATATCCCCGTACGTGCCCTGCATATTTTAGTATTTCTTTAAAATTTGCAATAATGACTTTTGATTTTGCTCTGAATTTAATGTAACATTTTCCGTGCTCAAACCTTCCTTTAATTTTTCTTTGCACTTTAAAAATAATTTTCAATCTTTCTGCATAATCTTTAAACATCATTTTCCGTAGATTATTTTTCCGAACACCTGAACTCTGGTAACTTCATTCCTATTGGTTGCTTCTGCGTCCTAGCCATTCTAATGAATCATATATTCTGGGAATCGTTCAGGTTAAAAGGTCACCCTAGTGACCAGCATCTATGTTTATTTTTATCTTCAGAGCTCGCATCTGTTATCCCTCTCCGCCGAAGAGTGCAACTACACAAAAATGTGTTACAATCTTATTTTAGTTCAATTTTTGTTATGATATCCCTATCAAAAATGTATTTCACTTTAAGAATATGAAACACGCACTGTGTACGCCGTTTACAAAACACGGACAGGTCACGGAATCACAGATGCACGGAAGTATAGAAAATAGTACAAATCACGGATTGTTTAGTGAGTAGAATACATTTTTATACGATTAGTAGAATTCGATATTATAAAAAAAGGGACCTGTCGTTCTTTGAATAGTAAATGAGCAGCAACTTTATATATTAAATATCAAAAACATGTATGTTTTTTACGAATTCACTTCATGGAAGTAAATATGTTATGTATCTCGTTATTTATAAAGGGAAAGAACATTACGATTCACAATCTTTTTGATGTTTAGAAAACCTTTGATTTTGAATAACTTCTTACAGCTCAATCCCCATACACAAACACTTAAATTTATATGTATAGAGCATCCCGGTCTTCTGGGGTGCAAAAATACCATGTTAATACGGGTATTTTGGCTGTAAAACACTCTTTATGTAATGATTTGTATTTTTGAAATTTGTAATTGTTTGAAATTTTTAATCAAAATTCTTAATCAAACTCATTTTCATTTTTTTTTATTTCATACTCAATACTTAATGACAAGTACAGTTTTTTAAAAAGCAAAATTTATTTTTTTTTTAATTACTTATTTTTTACACCAGGATTCATCACTCTCTTCATGATCTCTTGCATGAAAGGTGTTCCCAAAGTCGCTATAAAAATCCCTAGGCCATCTGTAAAAATTGTTTTTTTGCACTCATCCAACCAACTGACAAAAAAAGGTTCAAAACATTTATTTATATTCCTTG